CAGGCGGACGGGGGGGGGAGCGCCGCGCTTGGCCCCGAAGACTTTCCGGGCCCCGATCCCCGCCGAGCCGAGAACCCCTAGGGGGTGCACGTGAGAAAGCCGCTACTTGTAATACTTTTTAACCCCCCCCCCAAAGATATAAATAAGGCTTTAAAAAGTTGGAATAACGTTCCCCAACTATTTTCGGAGAGATTTGGGGGCGATTCTCTAGGCGTTGACCGAGGAGGCGCCAGTTTATTCGGAGGCCGGAACCCCTTTAGTGGAAGGGGAAGAAAAGGAAAGTGAACTCCAGAAAAATAGCAATTGGCACGACAATCTGTGTTGCTCAAGGGAGAGACATAGGGTAGATTTCCGAGCGTCACTTCCGGTTCTCAGTTTGGCCTAGAGGCTAAGGGCGCCGTATCACAGTTCTGAAGTACCCAGGTTCGAATCCTTGGAGAATCCCCTTTTAGCTTTATGTGGCTTACGATATTACAGAGACATATAGCAGAGTTTCGAACGTCACTTCCGGTTCTCCCGGTAGCCTAGAGGTAAATTCAATGATCTAGAAGGCCGTAGTTCGAGGGTTCGAATCCCCTCCGCTCCTTTTCTCGCCTTTGGCCTATATGGGCAGAGAGGTCAAATATACCAAAATCTACGTTCGGAGCCAAGAGGCGGCGGTGGCTCAGTGGGTTCGGCGCCTGCAAAGGCAACAGGTTCTTCGGGTTCAGCGAGTTCGAATCCCCGCTGGGTGCCTAAGGAAAAAAATGTTTTTTATTTTTTTTCCGGGGCCCGGCCGCCATTTTGCAAAATGTGGTTCTCTTTTCTGGGCCCGGGTCCTCCTGCCTGCGCTACCTACGAGTGAGTTGCCTAGCCCTGACTGACGGTCCTGCCAAGGGGGGCCAGTGAGGACTGTGCAACTTGCCCAAGGTTGCACAGGCGGCAGGACCCAAGCCCAGAAACAAAGAACCAGCGACGCGCAGCAGGTCAGGCTCACCGGCGGGGATTCGAACTAGCGGTCGACCGGGACCGCAAAATCACATTACCAAGCGCTTTCCCCGCTGAGCCATCTCAGCCACT